ATTTCCGCGGGCCTTATTGCACTCCACCATTTTACACCTCTTGCCGGTGGATCTATCGGCCAAGAATATAGCATCAAATACTGCCGCCAGGCTTTATGCTACTGAGTAGTTTAAATATGACAGGTCCTACAGACACAGTAGTATAGCATACACTTTCGAGACGAACTTCGAGTCCACTATAGAGGTCCAAGGCGGCGGGAGTGAGGGCGGGAGCAGTGCACAGACGGGTCGATGATGGAGAAAGGCGTAGGGGCGGAAGTCGAAAGCCGTGGAGCTACTTAACAGCAAACCTAATGCTGACTACACAAGAGGCAAGCGTTGATGCAACCAGGGCTGTTGCTTCGACCGTTGCCTCGTATGTAGCATTGTTTCTCATACATATAAATTCGTGTTGCCGCAACCGTTGCTCGAAAATTTAAATATTTTGATATTTTGTATTGGCTGCCGTATCGGTTGCCTCGTATGTATCGTTGTGTATTGAGTTTATTGCCTTAGTTCACAGAAAACAAATGAGCTGAAAAGGTGTTTTGGTAGAAAACAAAATTTTCTTTCATGTGCTCATTTCATAACACAGCACACAATACTGCGGTTGCCGCAATAGTTGCCTCTACGGTTGCCTTGTGTGTATTGAACAAGAAAAACATGTTGTTTCAAAACCTTGCTTCAACGATGGCCTCGTGTGTAGTCAGCATAAAAAATAAACATTGACAGTAACACCTCGATAAAGGCGCTCCGGTCGCGCAGCACTTACTCAAGAAGTGTGGTGGAGTGCAGATCAGCTCTGCATTTGCTACATACTGATACATCTGTACTGGTTGCCGCGGCAAAACGGCGTCTCGGCCAATGAGGAGGCGGAAATGCTTGTCAAAGAAGGCACCCTGTCGAAAACTATGCCGATAGAGGAAGTGCCGATTTCCCTCCAAGCGATTAAACGAAAGTTGGACCTCTCCATGATCCGGAATGAGCAGAAGATGTGAACCATAAGACAAGGTTGCAAGGTGTCCTGGATTATGGACACAGCGTACGACATAAAGCTCACGTAGTTTCTCCTATCTTTTAATAAGTAGGACGCTAGGCTAGTGGTGAGTATCTAACTCAACATTCGTCTGCTGGCATCGCATGCTTTTAAACTGACTCTGTAGGAGATACAGGATTAAAGAGAAGACAGTGGAACAGCATGGATTAGTATCCTGGGAGGAGGCTTTCAAGGTGTTCCAGTTGCCAAGAGGACATTGCTCCTGGTGCTCAGTGATTAGCTACCTAATATGGTCGTAGTTTATCTGGTACGCTAGCGAGCCTACCTAACCTAAAACGAAGATCACACGATTTGTACATCAAAGACATAATTTTTGTATTGCTTAAAGCTATTCCATAGGTATTTCACTAAAGGATCCTGACCTAACAATTTGTAATCCAACAATTTGCTTCATAGGCATTTCTTAGCTTAAAAAAAGCGGCCAGAGAAATTAAGAGCATAAGAAACCAATAGGCCTACTACCTAACTTGAACTGACTCAGTGAGAGGGGAGTACCAGGTGGCATGTACAAAAAAAAAAAACACAAATTTTTTTCAATAAAAAACTGATGGGTAGGATTTTAAGTAAAGCAGAGTCCGCAATACACTGCGCGATGCCTCAAACTAGGCTGAACAGGATTTGAGGTGCCATCAATTTATTAGATACTTTAATACATAAGTGCTGTTATATGACACTTGAGAAGTGCATACACAAAAATTTCATAAATTTCATAAAAGAAATTCTGCACATTTTTTGGAATTTAGTATGTATTTAGGCGCTAGATGTTAGTAGTCGCCTAAATAAAGTTTGTATATTTTGGATTTTCAGAGTGTCAATTCAAATAATATGAAAAAAAACAATTTTCTTCATTTCACTTACCCCGTCGTGGTGAAGTTCGCTGCTCCTCACGACTAAGCGCCGTGGCAGCTGCCGCTGCCGCCTCTGTGCCCCTAGTCTTCTCCTGCAGCTGCTGAAACATATTAGCACGAGCGCGTACGCTGTTTCGACGTGCCAAACCAGCAGCAGCACCACTACCCGCTTCGGCATCACCACCTTCATGCTTGGCAGCCTCGGTAGGCGTACCTAAATGGCCCTCAATGCCTGACATTTCAAAGATGCGCTCACTATCGCTACCCAACGAAAGGTTGAATTGTTCACTAACGCTGTTGTTGTAACTATCACTCAGCGAATTTTGGCGTCCGATTGTGTCACGTAGTGGTGGTGTGCTGGCTGCTGCACCAGAAGTTGCGGCGTTGAAGAAATGCTGGCTGTGCAAAGGTTGTGTGGCGCAGCGTGTAAGCGTATAGCTGCTGCCCGGTGATGCACTCGAAGCGGCGGAGGGAGCGTTCAAGTGCGCGAATGCGGTATAGTTGAGGCCTGCGTCCAGGGATTTGGTTGGCTTGAAGGCGGATGTGGCGGAGGTGTCGAGCGGCGATGCGGTGGCCTTAAAGCTGCGGGGTTGAGAGGAAGGTAGTAAATTGCACGTGAGTTTTTGGTATTTTTTTCTTTTTTTAATAAATTACTTTGGTAAACGTATTTGAATTTGTATTGCTAGATTTTTGTGCACTTAGACAAATGCGGGTATTGTGTGATATTTGTAATGATTTTTCGGCTCATAAAATATTTACATAAGTAGTACGTCGATAAATATTATTTGCGATTTTTGTGTATACACTTTATTTCAAATTATTTATTTATGTTATTATCTAATACATAATCACAATTTTACTCGATAGATAACAGTAGAATAATTAAAGAGCGCAACAATAAAAAAAAAAAAAATAATACAAAAATATTCCACTTGGCCAAACTAGATTACTTTGGCTCAATAAACAATTTTCTGCACTTGAATAGCTTAGGTGCTGTTCATACATAGATTGAGCTATTGACATAAGCATTAACACACATAGCGATAACACGTTAAAAAATTCAATAGATTTCTTACTATTTTATATTTATTTATTTTCCAGTTTTTTGTTGTTCGACTTGTGCTGCTTAGCTTTCAATAAATTCTGTGCGCTTGTTCGCTGGTCAAGCAAAACCAGTAGCAGCTAATCAACAAAAGTTGTTTTGCCGGACGTTAACGTACGTTAATTAACGTTGCACTTTGATTGGGCATTCCTATTGAATCGATTGAGTATTATTTAGCTTGAAAAGATTCTTCACACTTTCATCATTTTTGTTTCCTATACCACCTTAGCACTTATGTACGAAGGCGGGTATGGGTTTTATTTTGCAATGGAAAATACTTTGTATTTCACACATACACATGTACATATGTATGTATACATGTGTATTGTACAATCTTACCACATATAAGCACTTGTGGAACGTGCCAAAATAAACCCCAAACAAGTAAGAGCAGCGCTGTCTTCGGCTATGCCGAAGGTTTCATA